TTTGTCACTCTATTTTTGGGAGTGTCTTGGGAGGAATCTGGAGACAATCTGCACCCAAGCAAAAACATAATTGATTGATTGAATTGGGTTTGGTTTGGAGCTGCTGTCATGTTTATTACAAGATGAACATTTAGTTTTTGTGTATATTTGGTCTCTTTTCTCTCAGTAGTGTCTGCAACACAGCTACTTCCTCTAGATTCAATCTGGTATTTGATCACAAGGCTTTTAATTTTTGTAACCAAGTAAATATAATTTGAACCTAAAAATTAATTTGATACGTTTTTCATTTTTAAATATTTTTACAAGAATTCTAGATGGCAATAGTTTAATAAATAATAAAAATTAACCAATATTTTGAAAAATAATTAACTAGTTGATTTTACGTACTATATTATTAACTTAGATTAATTGTATGCTAATCTATTAGTTATTGATATTTACAAATTGCAAAAAATTAATAATTTATTTTGGTTAATTAATTTTCAAAATAATGAAAAATGACGTGGAATTCTAAAAAGTTTCTATTGATCCAAACAATCGAATCAAAACTTGAAATTTTAATTAATTCAATTTGAGAATTAAATTAACTCGATAACGAATATTCCTGTTTTATTATATTATTATAAGTAATCCGGTGTTAAAACAGAGGGATTTTTGTTTTTTTCTCCGTTGCCAGATTGTACGAGCCAGATTCTGCCACGTCGTCTTCTTTGTCCATCGTACGGCAGGGATTATTAAATCATGGCGTTGGCGCGAGAAGAGGAGAGAAATCCAAAATTTTGGCGCGCCCTCCATGAATCTGATCTGAACAAATTGAATTATTTAAGAGTATATAAGATCCGGTGAATTTTAGAATCAAATCCAAAATTTCATGTTGATTCAAAAGAATTTCATTATCCGAATCCTTCCCGCCAAATTTAAAGAACCCAAACAAAATACTCCCGGGTTCTCCCCTCTGTTTCCCTCTAATCCAATTTCTTTTAAAAAATTTGGAGTGGAAACAGAAAACTCTCCAAATTGGAGATCTGGGCAGCCTGCTTCCTTCTCAACCTTTTCAACCCAGAAGCCAAAAGCAACGTCAATCCCACACACAAACAAGAAACAAAGTAATGGAGGCCCAGTTTCATGCGCTGCCTCCTCTCAAACGATTCAGACTCCTCCAGCAACAGCAAAATCAGCAAGAGGAACACCAAAAATCCGATCAAGCTGCGGTAGTTTCGTCCCAGCTCCCGTCCAAGAAGCGAAAGGAATCGAGGGCGGCTGACTCCCTTCCTTTCAGAATGTCCAGCACTAACTGCTGTTTGCCTGCTAAGAAAAGGGTGTGGGCATTACAGCCCGATTCAATCTCCGGTAAGCCCCTTTTCCCTATCGATCTCAATGTTGAGTATCAACCATTTTTCAAGGAAGAAAATGAGGAAAAAAGAGAGAAAATCCCAGTCGTGGAAAACGCTGATTTTGGGATTGAATCTAGTGAAGTGGAAGATAAAGAAAACAAAGATCCAGTAGTTGAACAAATCAAGGAATCTAACAAGAACACTGAATGCTTAGAGGATGCAGAAAAAGTTGGAAGAAAAGAAGAGGAAGGACTAGAAGAAGATGATGGGATTGTATGTGCTATATGTCAAAGTACAGATGGTGATCCATCAGATCCCATTGTGTTCTGTGATGGTTGTGATTTAATGGTGCATGCAACTTGCTATGGTAATCCCCTGATAAAGGGTATACCAGAAGGTGACTGGTTTTGCACCCAGTGTTCAGTTTCTCAATCTTCAGAAACTGAAAACAATAATACTTCTACCTTCTCTTGTTGCTTGTGTCCATTGAAAGGTGGTGCTTTGAAGCCAACCAAGAATGGCCGATGGGCTCATATAGTGTGTGCTTTGTTTGTCCCTGAAGTGTTCTTCGAGGACCCAGAAGGGAGGGAGAGGATTGATTGCTCTGAGATCCCAAAGAGAAGGTGGAATCAGAGGTGTTATGTTTGTAAGAGTAAGCGTGGATGTGCCATTGAGTGCTCTGAGCCAAGGTGTCCCTTGGGATTTCATGTTACATGTGGATTGAAGGAGGATCTTTATATTGAGTATAGAGAAGGGAAGAAGAAAGGAGCTATTGTGGCTGGTTTCTGCAAACATCATACTCAAATCTGGGAAAAGGTACTTAATTATACTTGAATTGCTCTTATTTTTATTTTGAATTGCAATTGTTTTGAATTTATTTTTGTTGAGAAAATACATTCTCAATATGCACACAATTACACAAAATAAATAGTAAAATAAAAAAAATAGATACAAGATTTAACATGGTTAAGTAAATATATTTATATTTACCGATAAGACAAAAAAAAAAATTTTGTAATTATAAAAAAACAAGAGTACATCATTAGTAAAATTGTAAATCTTTAGATAAACAAAGTTTCAAATTATTTTTACAGATATTTTAAAAATATTTTTCACAATATACACAAAATAAAACTACATCAACAGTTTCAACTTCAGTCATCTTCAGTTCTATTAGCATGTTTACTTGTTAATTGAATAATTACAAAAGTTCCTGAAGATATGAATTAGTTTAAAAGTAAAATCATGTTCTATGAAGTTAAAGATCCGAACAAAATGAAATATTTGATTTTTGTCTTGTTTGGTAAATGATGGGTTGGTGTTACTGGGTTTGAATTTTTTGCAGCAACAACAAACAGGGAAGTTCAAGA